AAAGAGGAAATGGAGGACTCTGGTTTTCTGTGTTTTTGCAAAATCCTCAGCCCATGACCAATGGAATAGTGCTGAGTTATACTAGATAGGGACTGAGTTCTTTTGGTTCAAAGTTGGGAAAAAAAAATATCCAAATAGCCTTAGTTTGGGCTGTCATCTACATTTGCATCGCTAAAAGAAAGCAGTGTTAAATGTAACCTTCAAGCTTACCATCATCCTTGGTTCTTTCTATAGCTGCAGGAGAGCTGGGGACTCCATCTCCGATACGAGTGAATGCCAATACCTGGATCTCATAGAGCGTGTATTTCCGCAAGCCAGATAGCAGGAAAGACTGAGTGTGGTTACCTCTTACTATTTGGCTCTTTGGTTCGGAGTCTAAATGTTTTGCTTTGAAAAGTATCTGCAGAATTAATGTACACAAAATACAGAAAGAAAAAGATTGTTACATGAGGACTGAAAAGAGGGGTATGCATTTTAGATTCCTCCTTTTCACAAAATATAAAATGAGATTATATTCATCAAACACCCCTTTCAAAAGCAGCACACTTCCTATATCTTCTCTAGCTGACTTACGAATAATATAAATATCCAGCAGGTGAATAATAGATAACAAATGCAAAAACATTTCCAGGTAATGCATGAAAAATTAAATAAGCATGAATTTCCAGTTGCATACCTTGTAACCCAGGATGAGACCATTCTGCTCGGACTCGGGGACTGCGGTCCATGTCAGAAGGATCTGGGTTGAACTCACGGCTTCAGCAGAGACATTCTCAGGAGGAGCAGAGGGAACTGGAATCACACGGCATTACCAAAAAAGCAGAAGTAGGTAAGACAAACCAGATCATTTTGCTCCATCTTCCTATCTGCTTGGGATTGTTCCAGGATCCCATAGAAGACTATTCAAATCCAAAAGGACTGGAATAGGTTCTAGACAATCCCTTCTTCTCCTGTATTCATTCTACGTCTTCTTTATATTTCAACCTGCTTCACAATTTCTTGCCAGTTCATCTCAGAAATCACAGTGTTTGTAAAGAGTTACCCATTTAATACTAATCAGTGTCTACAGATAGACAGTAAATACAGACAGATATGAATAAATTTCAAGTTCTGTATATTTGCAGTAATTAGAATCAAGTTTAAATTGCTGGGCTTCTACAGAAGTCTGTCTCCTAGTATTTCTTCCCCACACGTTTTATTTCCCTATGCCATAAGCTAGAAATCTTTATGAATGGGAGTTTATCTTATGGTACGATCTGTTCTAACAAGAAGTTTTACGCCACCCTGGCTTCCTATATTATCTGAAAGGAAATTATAGCATCTTGTCCAGAGTTAGCAATAATTTCAACCACTGGATTGCACTCCCAGTTCAGCGAGAAGTTCCTTAACCTCTAAGCCTTTTGATTATGTGATAGTACTCAACATTTGCAATACATCAATTATAGACGGATACATTAACACAAGGTGTCTTTTCAGGGACCAATACAGTGTAAATGAAAGATATGCCTATTTCATTTATGTTGCAAAATTGGCTTTTACGAAACTAGAAACATCATTAGAACTGATGGCACAGGAACACTGTAATTTTCTCTGACTCGAGAGAGGAGCAAACTTGCATTTTCTCATGCCATTAAAAGTCCAACCACTGCAGAACAACCACACAACTGCAAGCTTTTGTAGGTAAGCTTAATAGCATGCCATGTTATGCAAGCAGAATTTGAGGCTATTTTTAAGAGTTCACATTTTATGCTGCCCTTTTGCATTTTTTTTCCCGTGGCATTTCCAACACCTGAAGGGTACAATCTTTTCTAAAGCATGATACACCTGTCAGACCTCAAGGGAACATTCGGCAAGTTATGTTACACAAGCACTTATGGACAGTAAGGCTTGGTTAGGTTCTGAATATATCACAAAAAGGAGCACAAATCTCTGCCAAAAGAAATGCTTTCCTGGCTGTCCGAATGAAAGAACAGATCTGCTGTTTTGAAGGCAAGCTCCCGAAGCTCCTAGCAACATGAACGAGATAATGAGTATGACACCAGAATTAATATAAATTGGAAAAAAAAAAAAAGTACCACCCCCCACCCTTGTGCACTCAAGGTTAACCGCAGAGAGAGTAATTTCTGAAACAATTTCCCTGTTACCAATTATTTGGGACATGAGAAACAGAGCACCATCACACAATACTGCTGCAGACTAAAATCCAATTTTTTTTCCCTCCAACGCTGAAGTGCCTTTTTTTTTTTTTTTTTTAAATCTTCGCCTAGATTTATCCCCCACAAGGATATAATTATGTCAAAGGAAAATAGATTGCCAGGAGCCATGAATGTCTTTGGATAGCTGCCTTAACTTTATCTGTAGATCTTCACAAAGAGCTACTCCCACATGAATCACTTCTGGAGAGAGAAAGGGTGGAGGTGGGTCGCAGGAAGCCGGGATGCGTAGAGGAAAGAAGCCCTTTCCAGCCACATTTATTTTTATTTTATCTGGTTTGAAGCCTTTCAAGAGAGAAAAAATTTCTTTATTTTACAAATATTTCTTTTCCTCTTTGATCAGCAGCCATGAGATTTCCCGAATTCACAAAAGGTGGAGGCTGTGCCCGGGCTGGCCCTGAGTGCATGCTTGCTTTGAGGTGTGTGTACGATCGCGCTGCTGGCGGGGGGACTCGAAAGCTAACAAAGGACAGAATGGTCTGTCTGAAGATTTATTAGCCCAGACTCCTCTTAATTCCCAGTGACAGCCAGAGCAGCTAAATGTCCCCTCTAGCTGGAAAGGCATCTAAGTCCAATGCCTAGATGGCAAAAATACTTGCGTTCATTGAGTGTGCTTTAATTCTCTAGTTCTCGTATTAGTGTTGAGAATTTTATTCTAATATGGATGTATGAATTCAGGACCTGCAAGTAATATTATGGATCTTATTGTTGCCAGTCTTTTATCAAGTAACAGACTTTGATCGACCTTTTAAGAATGAATTGAAACATAACCTTCATTTCTCCGACACCTCTCCTCTCTCAGGATATCATGATTCAAAGGAATCATAGTTTGCTAAGACTAATTAGTGGCTTGAGTTGGCTCTTTTCTCTGCGAGCTCCCTTCTCTAATGCTGGTTTCCTTAACTGTTGCACTAAAGACTTTGTTATAAGCTCCAAAGCGGAGTTCTCATTAGTAACCTGCAAGAACAGTACAGAAGCCAAGCAACAGTGTCCAAAAAAAATCTCAGAGCTTTAACAAAATGAACCGGAAATACTGAAACTAAATGATGAGCTCATCCAGCAAACTGCCAGCTGCACAATGTACTTTAGAAGATCAAACGTAGGAAATTATAGAGTTACTGGCACTTTGCACTGGAACTTCAGTAAGAACTCGAGTTTTTAAGGTCATGCATCCTCTTTCTACATCTGAGACAGCCACATTGGATATATAGCAAACGATGCTGGTTTATGTCTCTAACTGGACCAAAAGCAGCTTTTAATAAGCTAGCCTGTATTCTGGCTTTCTAAGAAATCTAGATAGTGCGATGCAGTGGTTCTCTCCACTTTGGCAGTTCATTTTAGCTGAACATCCATCACTGTTTTTTGAAAGTGAAAATTAAAGTGGCATATTGTACATCTGACGTCAATTAAGAAGTGCAAATTTAGAGCAAGGTTTGTGGCAAAAGTAACATAGCTGCAGTACACAACCATTTTGCCTATAAAATTAGATACCGCAGGCCAAATTCTTAGCTTGTATAAACTGACAAATCCCCGCAGTGACATTGGACCACATTTGAATTATCAAGCGATGCTTTATCACACCACAGTAACTGCTTCATGAAGGTCAGCCTCTGAAACATCAAGAGATTGATCCTTGCCATAGATATGTGACCACGCTTTTATAGTAGCTGATTTTGTAAGACAAGTATGAACATTCACGTAGCTGAATATTAGGAGTCCCCAAAATATTAAGACACTGAGTTAGGTGTATTTGAGATGAACTGTTTGAAAATAAGAGGGTTTCTATCTAAGAGGAGGCAGCCCTGTCAAGGTTATTCTAATACTTTAGAGCATTTTCTTGCTTTCTCTATATTGTGCCTACCATCATTATCAATCTATTAAGTGGCAATCGAGCTTGTTACTCTGCAGTTATTTTACACCGTAAAATCTGATGAGTTATTTAATTTCTAACATTATAAAAACATTTTGGATTGATAAAACCTGTCCTGTTTAAAAATCCTAATTCGTTTCCCTCTATCTTCAGCTGCTTGCAACCCTATCCCAGATTTTCATTTTAGGGTTTCCCAACTGTTTTTCAAGCCTGGGTTACCAAAACCTACAGTATTATTTATTCTGTCATAGTTCCTTTGGTTTCAATATGTTTTATATTCAAGAGCTTCAGAAACTGGAGAGTACCTGTAATGGCATGCTGCTTTATTTTTAGCATGTGTGCTCAGCTATTAGTGATATGATCACACATCCTAGAATAAACAGAAGTGCTCAAGTACAGCTTTATTTTCAATAAAGATATTGGACTCCAGGAGCTGCACTGTCATTAGATACCACGAGCTGATTTAGTGCCCAGGCTCTAACTTCTTAGGCTCCTTGGATGGTGTTAAACACTGAACCGCGAGTCCTGCCAATGAACCACCACGTGATCCTGGCCAAGGCACCTCTGACCAGCTGCGAGGGATGTTTACAACCTGTGGCACCAGGCAAAACCAACTTCCCTAAGACTCTGTATCTACTAAATGGAAAAAGAAATATTTAGGACACCTGCTTTTAAAAGTACTTTGAGAACATAAGTGACAAATAGAGTTTTTCTTATAGTTCAGAAGACAGACCTAAAAATGCTTTGACCTTTCTCTCTGGGTTTAGATCTCTTTTATTTGCATTTTAACCCCATTTGATTGAGCACAGAGGTTAACTGCAGATTCCCTGAAGTTCTCTCACGCAGCTCACTGCTATGCCAGCACTTCTTGTATTTTCTAAATCTAAGAAGATACAGCCAAAAGTCTGAGTTCCGACTTGCTCTATTCAAGAAATCAGATGTTAGTATCAAAGAAAACACACGGAAAAAACCAAACGAGTCCTTACGGCCTAGATCACAGCTTTGTGTTATTTTGATCCTGGTTTCTGTATGCTTCTTACAATCAGTTTCAAGTCAACCTGCTTTTAATACTGCAAGAGAAAATGCCAAATACACACGTAACCTCTGATCTTTAGATGCTGAGCAAGAGCACTATAATCCTAAGGTTTTATGAAATCACTTAATCTTAGTATTTACTACATTTCAAAAGAAGCGTTTGAAGAGCAGCGGAAAGGAGAAAGTGGAGAATGCGGTATCTTTTTATTATGATACAGAACACTTCAAAACTATTTTGTCTGGGTCATGCTATCTCTAACTCCAGCACAAGTACGTCTTGTTTAAAATACCTCTGGCAATAGCTTTCCAATTATTACTTCCCAAAAAGCAACACTTTAACAGAGGGGGATGACTTTGCTTAGCCTTCTCCTCGGCTAGTTCAAAGGACAGTTATCTGAACCAACAGACCAAATCAGGCCACGTACAGCGTTTTCACGCTTCCCACCAAGTAACGCTGTGTGGTGCAGAGTGCACAGACACGCATATGTGTGGCTGTAAGTGTAGGGTATGCATAGGATGAAATTCCAAAACATTTTTAATGAAGAAAAGCAGGAAAAAATATTAAGAAAAAATATCAGTGTTGAACCTTGCATAAATACAGGTCACAACGAGCTTTTATTATTAAACTTTTAAACCTTATATGTCGTCCATTTTGTTATTCACTTGCAATATGGATTTTAATTTATCAGGTGCATGTAGGGTAGGTTTGGAAACAGGTTTTAGGGAAGTTAATAGCTAGAGAGCAGCTTTTCAAGATCTGTCTTTACTGTTGCTACTAAGGTAACAATAATTTACCGTTGCCTGAGACTGAGAGTTAGCTTCTGATATTTGAAGTCTCTATGCTAGTATGGACAATTCAGCTAGACAATAGAGTGCTTGGGCTCTAGGTCTATACACAGGTTATGTCTATATACCCTTGTACACACAATTTTAGAAGGCAGTTTTGAAAATGTGTCATCAAAAGCTCAGATAATTATTATATTTCTATATGGGTAATCAGCTCTCTAAAATAACTTGTGCCCTTTTAGAAATATTTGGTGCTTGAAATTAAACTTCAGATAACCACAACTGTGAGAAAATCTGCCCGAGCCTAAGGGCAGACAGGGAAAGGGGCAAATGAGGAGCAATGGGGTACTGGGGAGGGAGAGGAAGCATGAGAGACCTGCTCAGCCAGAGAAGGCTGTACGCAAGCTTCTCATTGTGTTGTCCGTACTGCTGCCAAACGAGGGCAGGAATGAGGAGAGGTTGTTTTGTTTGCTTTAAAGAAATAACCTGCAGGTTTATGCATGAAAGCAGAGTAGGAATAAAATAAATAAATAACTCCCTCAAATGTCTGCATGTCTTTTTGCCTTCAGTGCATCAGAGACTGGGTTTTTTTCTTTCATTTTTGATTTAATGGATCAACAAGCAAAGAAAAAAAAAACAAAAACAAACCAAAACCCAACACCAAAACAACAACAAAAAGGCCAGAGAATGCTGAAGTTCTCAGATGTGTCCTTCACAACAGACAAGGTGCTTTGACTTACCAGACTCCCGTGTACGACCTCTCACTACTTCGCTCCATGGTCCTGCCCCGATGGCATTGAAAGCCTGGATCTGCAGTTCATACTCTGTCCACTCCTCCAGATCTTCAATTGTGTACTCTCTTTCCAATCGGTCATTAATAACCTTCACCAGGGTGGGAGACTGCAGATCCACGCGCCAGAACTTTATCCGGTACCCAACTGATTCTGGATTGCCGTTATACTGTGTGTCGGGGAGGGGCTGGTAAATGACAAAGCACAATATTCCTATACAGAATACACTGCCAGGTCTTTCCAAACTATATACCAAGGCTGTCTGAACTCCTGTGAGGCCATAGGAAGGCCAAAAAGATCAAGAGGTTGATTTTCTGATTTATTTAGTTTTCACAATCTCTAAATTTCTGTGTTGCTTGAAATTTTCTTTTAATTTTTACCTTAATTTTGAACCAAATAGATAGGCTCACAGAACTATGGCATTTGCTGTGGGTGTATCACCAGAGATGATATGAATACAATGTATTTCAGAGCTTTGTGATTAATTATGGAAATGAATGATAAATTGCTGAAGCATGTGACAAAGTCATTTATCGTACATTTTTTACTTTTTTCACCGACTCTCTGCCTACTCATTTATCAGCAGAGATTTATCCTAGTATTCTAACTCCCCAAGCAATTTCAGAGATTAAAATATGAAATAATTAGCCTACTTCATCAAGTTTAGAGTTTTTTTTCCCTGCAAAACTAACTAGATGATGGCACGGATGGCTGAGACTCGGTTCTGAATCACTGGGAAAGTTTGATACACATTAACATTTCCCAACTTAGAAGACAGCATCCCGCAGGCAGGCAGGCCTAGAAATGCGACCCTTATTCTGTAGGAAAGAAGGAATTCCCAGCTCCCAGGGGGATACAGATTCACCTGCAGGTCTTGAAAAAAAAGAGACTAAACACTTTCAAATACTGATGTTATTAAGTATGAAAAAGGTATATCAGGTCATTTTTAGCTATGGCTGTTGCTCCTCCTGAACCCTGCACAGTTTGACTCATGAAAAACAGGCCTCCAGCACAGCAAGGAAACACAATCTTAAAAATGTTTTTAAGTCTCTTAAAACAACCTTGAGTTAATTTTGATGGAAGATATGTAGGTCTGGATATAGTACCAAAGGTTTAACAACACGGGCATGTTATTCAAACAATAAAGCCAGGAGTGAGTTATATGGGTCCTACCAAATTAACTGCAATGGCTTTTCTATGGATAGTGAGGTGATACCTTCGAGTTTGATGTTTTGGCTTTTCAAGGTTCAGAATTAAGTGCGGTGTCCCATTGAAAAACTGGAATTATTCCTTTCTGAAGGGAGAAAAACTCTCTTGTTCCTAGCCTGATTTGGACTTCCAGCCGTAATGAGTTTATGCATAGAAAAGCTAACATTTGGGCAAAAGGAAACCTGTGCTTCATCAACTTCACACCACAGTAACCCCAGTGGAAAATTCTGCCTAACAGGGGAGAAGAAAAACCATTCTGGAGCAGGTTAATTGCCAAGTAAATCCCAACGTGGCAACTCCGCAGGTAACCGAGACAGTCAAAGGGGCACAACGATGACATCAATCACTGCATCTTTGCAATTAATCATTTCTTTCTATGTTTTATCACATAACTCCACACCCTTTCACATAAATATAACCTTTCTACAGGAGTGTAACATGCAAACTTTGCTGCCTTTGAACCACAGCTGGTCAGTGCCCATAGGATGATCGCCAATGGCTGGTGCGCACTTTTGGGGGACTATTTTGTACAACACGAACAACTGAGCCCTAGGAAACTGCAAATTGGCTCAAGTATTATATTCCTGTTCCACATGTTGACCCAGACTGTAGTACTAGAGAGTCTCAAAAGCCAAGGTTTTACACACAGGCATATATTCCCCTGATGAAGTGGCAGAAGGCAATTTACGTGATTAATAAGGCACTTAAGGTAAGTCTCAGATTTCCGACTATTCTGAAAAAGGAAATAATTTTGCTCTTATTCCTTATGCTGAATGCAAGGAAAAGGCACTCTGGAGTTCTGGCCTGACCCCCTGGGGAAGCAGCCACATCCCAAGAACCAGTACCCGGCTCCCCTCCGCTCCCCACTCCTTGCCAGCTCACCATGCCACAGGCTGGTCTCGCTGGCTGTCCGCACGGTGACGCTCCCGGGGGCAACATCTGGCGGAGCCTGCAACGTCTGGATGACACGGGAGGGCTGGCTGAGTGGGCTGGGGCCCACCACGTTTACCTGCCGCATCCGGAACCTGGAGCGGAGGAAAGATGCGCTGCAGGTTGTAACAGCTCAGTGAATGGTACCTCTCTTTCCTCAACGGGAAAAAGATGGAAAAATACCAATTAGGTCTTTCTAAATGTTCCACAAAGGTCGTTGCCTGTGGGTCCCCTTTGTACTCACTGCTGAATGCTTTATGGTAACTGCTTTCAGATCCTCTCAGGTATTAAAAAAATGAAAATGAGATTAGTTTAGGGTCTATTAGAAACTTAGGTATTTGTGTGAGAAATTTATGTTAATTATACCAAGCTTGATGAGCTTATGCTAGCAGTAAGTGATTTTCTCTTGCGATGCTTGTACAATACAGTCAGAAAGGTATTAAAATATCAAACTTCGGATAGTCTCATTCCCTGTTAATATAAAAAATATATTAGTGATAACATTTCCCCTCAATTACTGGTTGAAAGAAGCTGATTTACCCCTGTGCTGCATTTTCAGCCTTCCTACACAAAAAAGATTAAGTTATTTAATATGGATATGCATCTTTAAAAAATACCCTGTCTGCTTGAAACCATCTCTTCTACAATAGAAATCCCTATTAGGTCACAAAAGATCCAGAGAAATTTTTTTTTCAGGAATTACAAAGTAAGTAAGATTTGCTGTACATTTCAGATACTCTCACCCATCACAAGCAGTTAGAGGTATCCAGCACTTGCACATAAATACATGACCTGTTCATACTAAACACTTAGTTTTTGGACCTAGTGACTGAGCTTGGGAAAAGGGCAAGCTAGTCAACATAGCAGTGTTTATTTATCTGCTCTGATCTCCCTAGAAAATGCATTAAAGGAAACACATTAAACAAATACTGTCCTTGATTTCATTCTCAAACATTGGCATAAAACATAGAAAAGAAACTGGCCGGTAAAGATGTGGTCTGATAATTAGCTCTTATGGTGTGTTTCCTCAGTGAGCAATGACTAAAGCTGACCAGAGGACAACAAATCCATTTGGCAACAACTTTCTAGATTTCAAAAAATTATATAAAATTGCTCTACACTGAAACAAAATGAAAAAAAACACATATCTGTGCAAGCACAAGAGAAAAAAACCGGGCAAAACTCAAGGAGCTGCTTTATGTTGAAAAAAAAAAATCAGAGGAGAACTTTAAGTGTGAAAGATCTCAGAATTCAATGGATACAAGAAAGAAATGACATGTAGCAATATAATAAACCAAAAAGTTTAACAATAGAAAAAACCCCAACCATCCCAAAGTCCTCGTATACTTCGTCATTATTTTTTATCCCAAAGACCTTTCTCCATACACCTGCTAGGTGCGCAAGTCTTTCTTATTTTGCATGAACACTGAACGTTGAACTCTGGTATGATCTGCATTTTATTATTTGCCTCTGCCTTTTCAGTTTTAAGGATTCACCTTTATGATGAGAGCAAAATCTTCTCAACCTGAAGATGATTTTCCTAAACCTCTGCACCAGAAATCTCTGCTCAAGTTCAAAAATTTTCAAAGAGCTTCTAGTAAAATGTTTAGCTCTTGAGGATGAGGTGTAAAACACTACAGTAGAGCGTTCACGAGAAATTCAATATGTTCCTCAGCTTCTAAGGGAAGAAAAATCAGCGTACCAGCACTGAATTAGTTGTAAATTATATGAGCTTTACTTGGTTGCACCTACTACTAGCTCACAACAGCACATGAGCTAGCTAATAGGCCCTTCAGCCAGCACAAAATGGACAAGTTTCTAGTAAGCTGATTTAACACTTGCCACTATATCTCCTTGCAACCAGCCTTTACATTAGCAAGCTATTTCATGAAAGTATTTTTCATTAGGACTGAGTACCTCAAATTCTCAAATCTTGTCTATACTAAAGTAATGCATGACTTGAATTGATTCAAAAATCAATCTCGTTTAACTGGGGTGTACCCATAATGTAGATTCACTTCAATCAGTTTAAGCATTGCATATACCTATTAAGCTTAACTTGGTAAATTCTTATAAACAAAGGTTTCATCTAACTGATGTTACCAAATTAAGCTAAATCTATAAAATGATGTTTAAACTGATGTAAATATGTAATTACAAGGTGGTACCATTTTAACTACAATTGATTTGTCACTGATTGATGTTACACTGCTGCACCCTTTAGATGAGGGAAGTCACAGGCTATCAGTTACTTATAAAAGCATTTCACTGTGCGCTCGGATTTCCTTTTTAATTTATGACCTGTATTGTATGTAAATTACAATTAGCAATATCAGATGAGTAATTTTAAGTATAAACTATGAAAACTGCAAACCTTTTCCCTTTTGTTCAGATTATAAAACACAGCCAGCTGTTTCTGATTAGGAAAGCTGTTCCATGCTCCTATTTACTAATTTTTTTCATGCTGCAGCTAATTACCTGCTGTTCTTACCTGTAATGAGTGTAAGGAGTAAGGTTCGGTACCTCCAGCATCTGAGCATCAGGTTCATTCTCCACCTCGTGAAGACTCACCCATTCTTCTTCATCACCCAGTACACCAACCTGTACATGGTAAAGGTAAGAAGGAATACAAAGCAGACTATATGTGTGTGTATATATATATATAAAATAATGATTATATATATAACCTCTTTTGCAATGTGTATCATCATAGCAGTGGAAGGATAAATGCTTTTAAATACATATTATCCAGTTAATACTAATTTTTATATGACAAGACACTAGTTACTTGCAAAGCGACAACACAGCCAAGTTTCCTTGTACCTGTTGGGACTTCATTGGGATCCTCTGATAAGATCTATTCCAGAAAAACACCATGAGAGTGCTAATACCCTGTTCAATCTCACTGCCACAATACAAAAGTATCAAGTAGTAATATAACAAAATGAAAAATAGCCTTGATAATAACTCGCAGGAACTGATGCATACTAAGTAAGTCTCAATGGAGGCAAAATGCCACAGAAATGAAGACAGAGAAAGAAGAACAAAGTCAAAGAACAAAAGTGTTTTAACCTCATCTGTTAGTCTGCACTTAGCTCAGACTTTTCCATGTGAATCCTTTGTATTAATTAATCACAACATGTTGCCCAACATAGTCCCTCGGCTATGGCAGTGTTAGAAGGGACAAAATGGTGATGAGACTTGAGAGCGTTATTTTCCATACAGCTTTCTGAAGATAAAATGAAGATGAATCAGGACTTAAAAGGAAGTCAACAGGGCATGATAGAAAGGCCATAGTCTAACCTGGGACCCTGGAAGATGGCAGCATCAGTAGGCAGGGTTGTGTGCGTAAAACCACAGTAGGAGTATGGAGAAGGAGATGGAAGAGAGGTGGTAGATGGCTGGGCTTCACTTTGGAGATTCCCAAGTGCTGAAACACAGGGGATCTTAGACAAGACTCCCTGATATAATTCCCTAGCACTGTGCAGATTTACTCTGGTGTTTAAACCCTACCACAAAGGGCAGTACCTGCAGTCCAACTCCCTCACCCTACCCTGGTATCCACAATCACAAGCTGAAGGATATTAGAGGGTACACAAGGCAGCTATTCCCTTTGGAGCCTATTTACAGACTTAATATCCATGAAGATGCCCAATCCTTTTTTCACCTACTGACACTATCTACTCCCACAGACTGCTGCTGTGGCAACAAATTCCAGAAGCTCACAACCCACTGTGGAAAGAACTACTTCCTTTAATCTTTTTTAAACAGATCCCTTACGAGTTCTGTATACTAGTTACAGCCATAGACACTGTCAAAGCACTCGATAGGCAATGTAGCCCGAAGTATCTAGCATACCCCAAGTACTTCAAATAGAAAATTAAGTTTCATTCACTCTTCCTCCCCCTTTCAGGAGAAGCAGCTTGATTTATTTATAGATGTTTTAGTTCTTCGCTCACCCAGGACTTGGTGTGCTGCATATTTATGTTTGTGCATGAAGAAATGACACAAGGAAAATTAGGCCAAAGTAGTAAGTTCGGCATTGCACTGCGAAAAGAAGCCTCTGTGATCTTCCCAGCAGAAGCCTGCTTCCATGGAGGGATGTAGTTGTACAGGTCTTGATGGGCCTTTCAGTCTTGCTGGTTATCAAGGACACCACCACATGCCAAACAACATGTAAAATAGATGTCAGTGAAGATTATGGGCCTTTTAAAACTCCCAGTGCCAACTGAGCTCCATAAATTTTAGTAAAGTCCATGGATGCAGAAACTTAAAGGAAGCAAGCTGAGACAGGCCTGCATGGTAAAACAGAACGGCCCTAAACTGAACCCAGAGAACAAAGAGGTGATAAAGAGAATTTTTAAAAATAACCCTACGTGAACAAAGAAAGGAAGAGAGGGTTGGATTTCAGTCAAGGAAACAGAGAACACTTTTTATTAATAGAGTTTTTGATTAATACTGTAGAAAGTCTATAGTAAATGCTTATTTTTGCAAAACTCCTTGCTCTTAACAGCATCACCTCAAAGTGCTGCAGTAATTGTATAGCAACAATCCACAGCGCTTCGGAGGCTGCAAATAATCTCCAGTAGTGAGTTAGTCACCTTTTTGTATTCTAAGAACAATAAGAGCTTTTAGAAATATTTCTTGCATAGCTCTTGGGAAAAAAAAAAAAAAAAAAAGAAAAGACCACAGGTTGCAGTTGTTATGCAGCAGCAGGCAGGTCATTAATACACATTAAGGACCGCATGGTTCAGACCCAGAGGCCCACAGGGCTGTGAACAATTGACATTGATTCAAGCTTGAGAGGTGTCCAAAACCCCCCACCTGTTTTGCAGCTAGACATTTACCAGCTGGCTGCAAAGGTGGAAATATTAGGGATCTTTTACTGATTGAGAAGCAGCAAAAGCTTCTATGTGCCCAGGACTATGGCAAGCTCCTTGAAAACCATCCCAGGAGACACCTTTCCGGTTGTGAATGCTCTCCCTGGTAGGAATGACAGGTGCAGCCTACGAGGACTAGCCTCATTTTCTGCCAAAAGGTAGTGACAGAGAGGCAGCAAAACAAAAAAAAATTCAACCACAGGCGTAGCTCTGTGATTCTGCAAAAGATTTTAAGAAAAATATATTGGGAACTTGCTTTAGTTAAAACAATACCATGTAATTCTCCCAGGATCTGGTGCCGGCATTTGGGAAACTAACTCAAAGGGTTAGGTCTTCTACTGAAATCAGCAGTATATTTTAAGACAGTGCTGCTTGTGCGGGGAGTTTTTCCAAAGCAAGAGGATGGAAGGGTGAAGGGCTGTAGGGTAGCTTGGCAAACAGCCTGGGGACTTCTGCATGACCTCTGACTTGTGTGGCCAAGCAATTCTAGGTCAATGTTACTCAAAACAAGTTTCACTTATTTAGCAATAATCTCAGACATGAGTCTTGGAAAAGAACCTTCAGTGATGGGCTTCTATATTTTTAACTTTCACAAGATCTATAGTAGATTCCAAGTTTACGGCTCTTGAAGTAAAAGGAAACGATTTTTGCTGAAATACTCTGATGTTAGATCAGAGAAAACGTATCAGTTTCAAGAATCAGAGTACAAAGGGATTCCCACAGGGCAGAAAGAACTATGAGCAGTGGTAAGGATAAGAGAATCCTTTGAGGGGCAAGAGAGTCCACTATGAGCTGCTCTGCATAAAATAAAGTTAATTTAGAAGCTTCTTTCTTGTAGTGGTTTTTTGGATAACAGTGTGTGCAAACTTCAGAAAAGGATCATGTTTGTTGACAGATGCACACATGAATATTCCTTTAAGAGGCAGATGAGAACATCAACTGCTTTTATGTTACCTTCGGCATAAAGACTCCTTAAGAAATGCACTCTGTGTCTTAACAGTTCCCTGTACAATAGGGCCACAATCCCCAGGAGGCCTCAGGACTGCCACAATAAAAACACCTCTGTCCACCGAGACACTTCATATAATTCTCAATAATGATCAGCCATCAGAGGTTCGCACATATTCATTCCCATCTCTCAGCTGTTCCCAAGGCATTACGTTCAATAAAAGGACATATTCATTTATTATTACAGAAATGTGACAGTATAAAACAATATTGGAAGTGATGTCAGAACCCTTTACTTCTCTATGCATTAGTTTCTCCACTTTTAAAAAGGAAAATGTTACATATGTTATAAAGTGACTTAACAGTTTCTTATGGAATGCACTTTATGAGGAAATTTGCAGAATTTTGACTTAAAAGAAACCAAAAATAATTAAAATTTGGAATGAAAAAAATAATTTGCTGTGACATTTTTTTATAAGACAGTAATGCTTCCAAAATTTTGAACAGTTATGAAGTACTAACTGCAGGAAAGGAAAACACAATGTTTCTGTACATTACAGAGGTACCCTGTATTCTACTATAGTTCAAGATATGTCAGAGTTTTTATTATAGAGGCCCATAACTCACACATTTGAAATCACTTTGGGAGAAATTCGGTTCACAGGATGTCAACCTGGGTGCAATTTTTTTTCTTACAAAATCCTTAAATCGATTCAGCCATTTTTGATTTAAAGATTGGCAAAGACATAAAATTGTCAGAGTTTCAGACACTTCATTTACCATCTCTAAAGTAAAAACGACACCAAGAGAATCACCTCGTACAATGGACGAATCCTATCTGGGTCACTGACTTAACCCACAAAATCAGATAAATTTATGGTTAAAGTTACAACGTCTTTCCCAACTCACAGCTTTACAAGCGAATACAGTGATAATATTTTAAAGGTTATGCTACACTGAAACTCTGCCACTGCTCAACGTGATATTTATACAAAGCCTATCTAAAAACAGCAGAAAGGTTTTAAGTAAAAACTCTCTATATTAGCTCATATACTCCATGACTTGCAATACCACTTCATAAGTGGCCTTCAGCTGTTCCACAGGTCTTCTGCTGCCTGCACAGTAATATTAATCACCAGAAAAACACACCAAACTTGGCAGAAGTTAGCCCAGCTTTTCTAATCTGCCACTCGAAAGCTTGATGCTGTGGACTGAGCACCCAGTAAGGTACAGTCATGATGATGTCATTTATATACTTCTCCTGACAAAACCCCAGGAAAAATCCAGCATGAGAAAAATAAGCTGAAACTGGATTACAGCAGATAGAGAGTGCAAGCATGAAACCACGTGAACAACAGCAGGGATTCATAGTCATTCTTGGTTGCAAATTGCCAGAAAAGACGTCTACAATATATACTCTAACTGCATCTGAGAGTACAGGATGATCGGAAGGATTTCCTGAAATTCTTTGGGGATGAACACGTTACCTGTGAGTATCAATGCCACAAGACAGTTACTGCTGGTCCCTCTGAACAAGTGTCAGCAGAACCTTTACATTACATTAGACCCTCTTCTCTTTAGATTATACCGTATACAATGGAAAAACAATGTTAGAAATATTTTTTAAACAGCATTGGTACATTTTTGTAGTTCTCTGTTCGGAAATCCAGTTTCCTTCAGTTCTCTGAGTCTAGATGCAAAGATGGAAAAAACTGATTTTAAGAAATCCCTTCAGAAGTACAGAATGTAGCTTCACTAGAAACACAGAAAAGGGATTTTTAACACTTGATATTTCAGCATCTACCAATACTAAAATCTTAAAGACCTGATTCTCCTCTCATGTTCATTGACATAATTGAGATTTAGTTCCACAGTGGCTCCCGTGAATTTACATCCCAACACAAAAAGCAGAAGCCAAGTCCAGATGTACAAAATCTCACGTCAACTGGAATTCCCAGCTGTGTTTTTCATCGAAATTGCTCATGAAGTATCAAACTTCAAAAATGGCACTTAGCCAAAATGGAGTATTTGGAACATTTTCTAGACCTGCCCTCATCAAGGAAGCTTTCTGCCACACAAAGGAACAAAGAAGAAAAACATGTTGGTGGCAGGTTGTTTGTGTGTATGAATACAAAATAGCTGAAGTTTGTCTGTAAGGACTCAAGACGTTCAGAGTAAAGGGTATATTCTCAGCAGAGTTGGAAAAGAAGACACAATATATGAGGGATGTCCAATGCAAAGCTATCACCCAGCTGTACAAACAGAGGGGGACACAGATGAAGGGCACAACAGTACCAAGTATTTGTTGGTCAAGCTTTGTCATGAGCCCACCGACAGCAAAAGTACAGTGCAGAGGGAACAGATCTGTGTGGGAGGTCAACCTAATTCTCCTTCTTCCAGGACAGATCAAGCTGTACAAGGTATTAGTAAACTGCAACGTATTTTTTCGCAAGCTACTACCTGTTCTCAGCTACTCTGCACCTTGTTGCAAACTTTCCGAAAGGCTAATGGTCAAAAACTCTGCGATTGCATGGAGATGTAGTCCCTGTACCTGCTTGGATAGAATCTTTATTTGCTAATTCAACTGATTAACTGCGAAGTACACTAGAACATACAGATCAGAGTGATCCTATCACTTGGTAATACCACCTGTTTTACAATCATAATATACAAAATCACACCTTAAGTGGCTTTTAATTTAATGCTAAGGCATGAAACACTGAACAGTGCTATTAAAAGCTGCACATGAACCAGTGAATGAAAGATCCAGAAGGAAAAAATCCTCCCGATACTTCTGTTTAGAAAATACTGTTGTAGGCTGGGTATAACCACTGCCCTTCAATCTAACATAGTCCTAAGGAACAATTATGGTTGTCCATGCTAAAATACAGATGTTGCAAGAGTAGCCTGCACCCCAGCACAGACATATCACAGCTTAGAACAAGACTACATGAAAGGAGTAAGTGAACACTGGGGTGTCACTGGCAGCGTGTATGAGAGCTTGTGTGTCTTTGAAAGGCAGGCAGGAAAACCTGTGAAGTCCAGAGGGCAGGTCGAAGGCAGCTTAGATCCATTTCCTGCCCTCGTCTCTGCTCCCGCTGCCATGCTCTCACCCCCTCCCCTGGCAATGGTGCTCTTCTGGTCACACACTCAGCCTGCACAGAAAGTCGATCTGTCTGAAACTCATTTGTTCTTGGCTGGATCAACTCTCCGAGCAGCTCTGGGTATGATCACGCCAGAATCCGTGCAGGGAGAAGGCGGGAGTAAGAAAGTCTTGGTAAGAGTGATGGGGATGAGGAGAGAGAGCGGGAGCAGGACAACGACAGCTCTGGTTTAGGTTGGTTAAAGGTGCTGTGAAATTGCACTTTAAGAAAGAAAGGGAGTTTGAGCGGAGTGCTGGCAGAAAGGGGCTGTATACAAAGGATTATATGCGGCTGTCATCCTGGAAATAGCATTTGCTATATCCTTAAGGAATCACCAATTTCTCTGCATACCTGAAAAGAATTTTGTTAATCATATAAGCAAGATTTTTTAATTAAATCCACTTGGAACAACATTTCTTGTTGTGCCAAAGGTAAACAGTGAGGTATGGGGCAGAAGAAACTTGCAGGGTAGCTGTGGTGAAAAGAACTGCCCAGACTCTGCAAAGACTTTGGCTGTGCTCCTTCCCCAAATGGAGCAAATATTCCTGGATCGAGGATCTATCAGAACTGCTAACCTCTTGACTTTTCTAGCAACCATGAGATGTTGATAAGGGTTTGTGCACAAGAAAAATCCCCCCTTACCTCCCTGCACACCAAGAACCCTTCAACCACTATTTGTACCCAGGGCTCTTCAAGGATGCAGATGAACTTCATGGTAATTATTATTGCAGTTTTAAAGCATTCAAATTTATTTCACTTCATTGGCATTCTGCAACTCACAGAATTAACAATTCCTAGCAACATCAATGTGGTGCTCCACCACAAAAATGCTTCTCAGAATGTGCCAATCCACCATATTATAGGATTTCAGTGTTTAATTCCATAACATGCAATAAAGTGTATGCAAACAGTACAAAATGTACCAACTCGTTCATGACAATCTCATTACCGAGTGAAGTGATTGTATCAACATGTCTAAGTGGTGATGGTGATTTAAGAAGTCCAACATTTGGTCTTAAAAACAGATTATATTATTTATAAAGATCCGTGGGTGGAAAGGAAGAAGCAAAGCTCATCTGTCAGGAGAACAAATGAGGAATATATAACTCCTCCAAGGCACAATGACAGCAGAAAAAGGGATATTGTTTAAAGCTGATGAAGAAGAGAATTCATCCTATTCACATCTAGAGGCCTGGATAGAAGACCTCAGTATATTCCATTACAAGATAGAAAAATACACTCAGACTCATGAATAATGGTATCTTTACCATTCAGTGCAACTCTTCCTATACTTCTGACTCTATGAGATAATAACTCCATGTTTGCATCTGGTCTGAAAATATACCTAACAGAACCTAAACACAGGTTTCAAATCCTTTTTTAAATAAATGGTTGGACTTAAGCTCTGCTGTATGTGTTGCTTATGATTCATCTGGTGTTCTTCTGAACATAAGCAAAATTTTTGCCTTACAAAAATCCATGCAAATTATTTAAAGGATAAGCATTCTCACAAATACACACGTATATACACTTAGATCCCTTCTAACTGCTCAGAAATGTCATTAAGAGCTTTTTGTCAGGGACATACCTGGCCTTCGACTACCCACTTGGAGATGGAAGTTTTGCCATCATACCCTGGCCGGAACTGAAGCGTGGCAGAGCGAGGGCTGATGTTGGAAATCACCAGGTTGGATGGAGCACCTGGAAGTTCTGAAGAAACAGAAAATGTAATTAAGAGGTGGAAATGCTCTTTGTCTCGAGCCCAGTAACACAGGTTGACATACGGTGTTTCAGCATACAAAATACTTTCGTAACAATTAAAATAGAGCAAATAGCTGGGTTATTTTTTTTCTTTTTGGCAGTGTATTACATACAGCATTACTATTTCCGCTGCTCTGAGCATGCACCACATTTTTACAGTTCAAAAAAGAAAAGAAAGAGCCCATCTACAGAATTACAGCTACTATTTTAGAGAAGTTGGACAACCGACAAAGCGTGGTGACTTGCGGCGAAGGTACTTCCCAGCTCCAGATCTGCCAGTCACTCACCGCGTCACCTAATTCCACTGCACTTCGCTTTCTCCAGAATCAAATTACAATGATTTTAACTTACTTCTTACAGCACATACAACTTAAATATATTAACAACAGAAAAAGACTCAAATTTTTGGGTAGTGTATGGGGAAGATTTTGTGATTCTTGTACTGACCTATAATAGAT